CTGAACATCAACAATGCCGATTCTGACAATTGTTTCGCTTTCGGTAACCAATTATGAATAGCCCAAATCCGATCAATACGCACTTAGTACACATGGATATGATGTCTTTGCGAAGAATTGGGAGAAGATCACAAGCTTTCCGCTCAAATATTATGTCTGATCGGTAAAATGACAGTAACACATTATCGGAAATTCTCCATTGCTCCGCTGAATTGGACAACTTTATTGTTTTCTACTAGTACTAATATATTACTGCTTTCATTAATCGCATTAGTAAATCTTTACAAATGATGAATGCTTTAATGGACCGTCTTCAAAAAATACCTGTACTTTATCATCAGCAAACTTTCCGTTATATAGCTACTGTTCAAGCCAAATTTCTGAGAAACCTGAGAAACCTGAGAAACCCATCGCAGGCGTCGTTTGAAAATGTACCGTCACCACAGGCAGTAGCCGACTCAGGTGTGCCGCCTGCGATAAAGTTTTTCGAAGGCGGCGACTATACCTGGCATTCCGTCATTTTGAACTGGGTTTCTGGATGATAATCTGGAATTGTGCACTCATTTTTATGTCAAAAAAGTGCGCTAATTACGTTCAATCGGTCGAAACAATAATAATAAGTACTGACACTTCCCAAGAATGGGTTTGCATCACTACAACACTGTTATCTAAGCCCTTTAAAGTAATAATTATATTAGTCTACAACGGAGTCGGTTGAACATTCTCTTCAACAAGGATTTCCTCGCTGGTTACCAAACTAAAAATTTTAGCAAGGTTGGCTTTTAAATATTTGCAATTATTTGTATCACTTTTAATTTTATTAAGCACCGATCACTCACTGAGTGACCACTGAGGGCCTGAGCGCGTTACTAAACTCTTCACTTATCCTTGTCCCAGAGACCTAATACCTATTGGGTACCGGTTACCCGACGGAGTCAATAAATATCTCCGCGCATTAAAATCTTCACATTTTACCTTTTAAGAGAATGAACATTTACACACACACTGCCGATTCTTGCCATTGAACAGTGACTTAAATTTGCGCTTTCTCCAATTAGACATAAAAGTGTCTACTGATTTCCACTTCATGTCACTTTAATGCCGAATTCAAATAAAATCGACATGAAGAGGATGGTTGGAATAAAAGCAAGCATACTCAGATCAGTCCAAATGAATCCAATGCAATGGACTAGAAACTCAACACTGGAGCACACCTTGCTCTCAAAGGAAACAGACGGTCGAAACTGGCCTGCTCAGGATCCACTCTCACATGAGAGAGAGATTCCGTTGCTTCATCAAGATTTTTTTCGGCAGCACTTTTTTTCAGCACGTTCGCTTTGCTTTTATCCTATTTTTCACTTATTTCAGCCACTGAACTACCCTGAAACAGAATGAAATCTACACGAGAGGTGATCAATACTCGTTTTCCAATTCTATCACTTTTCTTGCCAGTAAAGTATTATTTGTTTTCTTTTTTTTGATGAACTTACACGAGGTTGATAATGATGTTTATTTTCGGCTAACGTTTCGACGTCTTCGTTTTCCTCAGAGCCGATGATCCGAGTCGATGGTCCTCGCTTGTTATTCGTCTAGACGTGGCAGCTTCGCCCTCGCGTCGAGTTAGGTCTTCTTCAGTGAGCCATCTCCTCTCCATCTCCTTCATCTCTCCATCTTTCGAGGAGATGGCTCACTGAAGAAGACCTAACTCGACACGAAGGCGAAGCTGCCACGTCGAGGCGAATAACAAGCGAGGACCATCGACTCGGATCATCGGCTCTGAGGAAGACGAAGACGTCGAAACGTTAGCCGAAAATAAACATCATTATCAACGTCGTGTAAGCTCATCAAAAAAAGAATACATATTGATTAGTGATACCGAGGTACAGGGAAACTCGGTTTCGAAATATTTTTTGTTTCTTTTTACTTCTGCCTACGGTAGTCATCATAGATCCTACAACTCCGGAGTGAGAAGTGGAACAGCACTGACACAAATTAATTCGTTACACACTTTCCATCTAAGAATCGACAACGAAATTGTCCCACAGATGGTTTTATGCTCGAACTCATAATTCGACACGTTTTCGTCTTTTTTCTCGTGCATTTCTACATCGTCACTAAACGCTCGGCGCCTACTAGTCATAACTTCCCTACCTGAGTGCCATATGGGTGCATCGTTGGCTTATGTGGTGGGTGGTGTTGGTGATCCGCTCGCCTAGCAGAGATGATGGCGTACGAGTGGTGTGGTAGCTGAGCGCTCGCGCATTACTGCAATACTGTCAATCAACATCAAACGCCACCGACATACTGGTCACGACGCAGCTGGCTGCTCTGATAAGTACTACGTCAAGAGGTGACCGAATACGGCAATAACACCAAAACAAAATACCACCACTGGGAACATTTGTCCAATGAAAATCGATATTCTCTACACTCTATCAGCATTGCTTTCCCACGATATGAACCGAAAATGTTTTAAAAACCGACTTTCATTAAATCCCGCTAAGAATAATCAACAATTGTTTGCATGGTTGAGGCGAAGAAAGGCTGGTTTAAAGATTTCTATTCGTCGTTGCATTGTTCCGAGTCGATGGTTACAGGATGGTACTTGCGCAGCCGTGGCTACTTGCTGTAGCATCCAGTCCAATTCAAAGGAACGAGCACCGCTCGAATAGCGAATTCTTTTCGAACACCGTTTGAGCGGTTTTTCCTCTGATGAATTGAAAAGCTTTTCGAAGTTTTCTCCTTAATCATTCCTATTTATAAGCAGTGTTCTTACTTCTTTGAACAAACACCGGTTAAATGCCACATCCTTTCCGGCACGCAGAGTGGTGTTCCTGCAAAGATGTTGTTAAACCAGAGTGCCATTACGTTTTCTTCTTGTTTCTTCACGAAAAATAATGAAACGAAGCCTTTTCAGTCATATTTGCATCGACTTCGGGTTTTCAATAGACATAACTTCATCGCCTTCGGAAGCTGCTTTCATTACTCAATTAACTTGCAATGTACGCAAGCGAAAAAAATAATATACGACATAGAAAGTTTGCGAGAAACCACTGGAGATTATTTTATTTTCTGGATTCAGTAAATGGGAATAGTTTCCGTTTCAGGTTGCTAGCCAAGAGCTGTTGGTCGACAACCGCTACACATTCAAATGAATTCATGGCACACCTGCAGTAATCGTTTTATACTGGTGGATTTGATACAATATAGGAAACATGAACGAAAAAATCAATTTGCATGCGATTCGATAGGATGACGAAGACAACACATCGAGAGTACGAACGACTGCTATTGGAACATCGACTGGGATCATCGGCTTTGAGGAAGACGAAGATGTCGAAACGCTAGCCGAATAAAATTTTTTCATCAACCTAGTGTTAACTTGATAATCCAAGAATATATTCATTCTTTGGTGTTTGCGTTTATTAAAGGAATGGGCCTACTTTGCCATGCTAACGGCTTAGGAAGAATGTGAAGTACAAATACGAGAAGTTATACCTTTCACTCTACAAGAGTTCCTGGTGGAATCAGTTGAGTTGTAGTTCCCGCGCTGCTTGATACTTCAGTGGAAAATGTGGGTACCCCCAGCGAATTTATTTTCTTTGAAGGCCGTAGCTAAGAGATAAATTGTAGAAATTTCATAATAGGGAGTTGCTTTCCAGTAACTCTGTATGAAGAAAATCTGTCACCTTAGCATGAAGCCTTTTCTTAAGAGACGCTTGATAACAATTCTATTGACAGCGAAGAATGAGTGCTACGTAAATGCTTCCACAAGTTGAGATAAGATAGCCTTTCAATTAAGTTTGATACGATAAGAATTGGCTATGTTATTAAGACAGTATTATTTTTAGATCACCTTTATGCTGATTCTTTCCTTAATATTGCTTGGTTTTGCAATCTGTAAGCTCCTTTGCTAAAAGGCCTTTCTGATATCAAGGATACCAAGCATATTCTTTGCTTCTATTCTTTCTAAAGGGTGCATGTGGCGCACTGGTTAGAGACGCTCCGCAGCATAAACGGGAGATCAATCTCCGTGTCTGTGGTTCAGCAAGCCTTCTAACCTTCTGGGGTCGCAAAAATGCTGCAAAACTTGTCTGGGAGGATAGCAGCACTAGCTTGATAGATTGGTAGGCCACCGCGAATTACTGTAAAGGCTGAATATGCATTCAGTCACCTCCAAACGATGCTTAATGAGGTCGGATGCACGGCGCATCCCTCAGGGATTGACGAACGCGGAGAGCTTTACAGAGCGTTATTCTTTCCCTCAACGACCTAACAATCTCTTCCACTTTTTGGCTTACGCAAAAAAAATAAATCAGCCTTTATTCAGCCATAGTTCCTACATCATATGTTTTGTACACTTGAAGAGAAGTCGCGTTGAGCCGCAAAATAAAAAAGGACGAAATCCATGAAAAAGCCAAAGACAACAGAGCGAAGTGTCGTCAAGAATAAGTGCTAATTATGTCTCACTATTTTTCCTTCAAAAAAAAATATCGACACGCGCACGGTGAAAATATAATAACAGAACAGTACTATGGTTGAGGATGCCAGTGTGAATGTGAAACGATAGCAGTGTGGAACTTCCGTTTTGTTTCTTTTCCATCATAAACTACAAAAAACGCTCGAAGTGCTGCAGCACATGGCAAAACCGTGCGCTGTGGCGGTAGACGATCAGATTCCGAGAAGCCAGGGTCTGCGTAGATGCAGAGGAACGCGACTTAGAGCATCTAATCGATCATCAGTCACGATGAGGGCTCAGGGAACGAGAGCATATAAAAAACAATAGCGCATGTGGGCACATAACGAAAGAATAGAGACACATAGTAAACGATAGAGAGTGTGGAAGAAAAGGAGACCCGTGGAGCGATGAGCGCTTGATCTACACCGGCGATAGCGGTGAGAACATAACAAACAACGAACATTACACCTTTAAATTACTATAGACATATAGTTATGTGAAAATATTTGTGAAGTTCAATACGAACGTGATCGCTGTTGATCTACAAAAGCGGCAGCTTCACGTCTTCCGATGACGGCGGTGAGTTGTCCCACGGCATCACATTACGTGCCAAAAACGCCTTCTCTTTTTCTCGCTTCTTCTCCTTCATACGCCGGTTTTGAAACCAAATTTTCACCTGAAGAATAATCGTTTATTAAGTGTTCAATACGGTGAGCGATCGAGAATACCTGTGCTTCATTAAGTTTCAGATTCTGGGCGATTTCAGTTCGCCTCGCTCGATTCACGTACTTAGCAGTGTGAAACTCTTTTTCTAATTCGGTCAACTGATGTGTGCTAAAGTTGGTGCGATTGGTACCGTTCTCGTCGACCACCTTACGTTTCGGAGCTGAAAATCGAAAAATCAATAAATCAATAACGGCACGTGGACGAGGACGTAGCGATCGGGTTCGTAAGTGTAAAGAGGTGCATGGTGGTGCGAATTTGGACGCGCGCCGTCGAACTACCGTATGCCAGTGGGAGTTGATTGATATCGCTGTGCGGCAGCCGATTATCACATGACACTTCTCATAAACTTTTTATGTCACTAAAATCGATAAATGTCGAGAATAAATGAGAAGTCACTTTAAGTAGATGTGGACGGGAATGAGCCCATTAGAAAAGTCATTGATCGAGTCCGAGTTAGTGTTTTGTTATGTTGTACAAAGGAAGAGAGACAAATGACAGGCACTTGAGTTTTTTCTCCGAAACAAATCATAATCCAAGGGAACAAACACATTAATCGCATCTTCACGTCAATTGCCAACGCCAGAAAGACTGATGGTGGTACCGATGGTGCGTTCAGAAGACCTTTTCTCGACCAATCCAAGTAAGCGAACCCTGTTTAGTAAGTGCCGAAATGAGTTCAAATGAGAGGCACTTAAGTTGAATTACAAGCTTGCATAAAGTTGTATAACATGTAGAAATTTGTGATTCATTAAAACGAATTGCTGAATTGTTCCTTTGTTTTCGGATTCCAACTTTCAGATTAGTTTGATAAAGTTCAATTTGAAAAGATTCTCTAAGCAATATGACTGGATGACATATTTTCTGCGTTGAACGACTCTCGTTAAGTTCGCTTCGGCTGCAATCTATGAATTGCTAGATTGACTAGTTAATGTTGAACTGAACACAACTTCGCCAAACGAGAAAATATGAGCACTGCTGACCAGAACAGATTATTAAAGCAAAAAAAAACGAAACTAGTTGCCCACAACCAGCGTGGTTCGTGTTTTATCGGTCCGGTATAATTGATCCAGTTGTTCGGAAAACAAGGTACGCTATTACTTATAGATAATTACAAAAAGAGATAATGTCTAATAAGTAAGAAAAAACCCTTTAAATTCCTCTGCCGTCTTACACAAGAAATGATGGCGAATTTACAAAAGAAGGTTCGATTTCAGTTTAATGTAGATCCACTGGCTGTTACCAGTTGGTGACTGTCGTGGTGAAGAAAAATGAGGTGGTCTCTATCAGGTGTGACTCTCTTTCTACCTCTCATTTCGTGCCTCTCTTAATCCCATTCTCTTCTCTCTCCGTCTCTGTAGAGCCGACGGTGATATGAACGGCCAGGGAGGAGGCCGATAATATGATGTTCGAGGCCGACGTCTTAAAGACCGCATTACCGCAATTGACCTTAGGCTAAGACGCAAACGAGACTGAGGAGATTTGGTATGGTCTAGTTCGGCACCTGGGGTGGTGTGTTTAGTGCGAGATGTAATAGGAACAAAAAGTAATAGCAAACATTGAAAAGAATAAGAGTAACACGACCGACACAGAGCTAAACAGCGTCCTAGAAAACCGGGATATTTTTGAAGAACAATAAAATAAAAAACGAATACCAGGTACCGTAATCGAATGTGGTCAACGTAAATTTGTACAGAATTCTATCGTTTTTCATAGATTGCCTGAAGTATAGCGTTTTTATCTCGTGAGTAAACTGTCATAGTAGGTAATTCGAAAAGAATAAAGAGATAAGAATGGAATTAGATGAAGATAAAAAAGAGAACTAAGAATACAAACTTAATACAATAAAATAATCATACCGGAAGGTTTGTGTGATCTTTTCGTATGCATCCACTTGTAGGTATTTGTCACAGCAGTCTGCTGGTGTGGAAACTGCGTTGTAGCCGCTGTCCACAATTCGCTTGTTGATGACGGAGGAATGTTGCTGTACGCATGAGAAACTGTCGACGTGGGTGGATTTATGTTTCTAAGACACCGACTATTGGAATTTCATATATTGTCGTTACAATCTTAACTCTTTTATTTACTGCCTTTTTTCTTCTCAATGGCAGGTCATGTTGCGAAATATAACTCGTATGAGATGCTGAGATATTTGCAAAACTGTCGTTACATGTTAAAGAAGTCTCTGCCAGTCATTACGGAGCCAAAAAATCTATACATCATCTTTGTGCCAGTTGTCAAAATCTGAGACTTAGCAGCATAAATAACGGTTTCTATTAATATTCACTTTTTTGATAGAAAGAGTATATCTCAGAAGAACAAGAATTATGACAACGTAAAGCTCTTGGGCTTGAATTACAACGTTTCCTCGCGATCTATGCACTTCATGAAACAAAATTTTTGTCATTTCCCTAGGATACTGAGCACTTTAAAGGAATTTTTTAAAAGAAGCTCGTTACTCTTCAGATTCCAGTTGTAAACGGTTTTCTAATCAATAGTGCAAAAAAAAGAAAACGACAAACTGTCGCCGAATATTTTATTCAGAGTAATGATAAATGTATGTACGTACAGTGTCTAACGGATAGAAAAGAAAAAGAATGAACACGCTTTTTTATTTGACAAGTGGACACAAAGTCCTCTAAAATTTGGTACGAAAGCACTAAATACTATTAAATACAACGAAAAAATAGCACTTTTGAAGCGAAAGCTGTGTGAAGGAAAATTTTACGCAAGCTTTCTGAATACTAACGTACCTAGGTGGGTCACATCGTGGGTATGGTGCATACGGTGGCTGTGTTGGCCATTCATAGTATGGTGTGTAGGACTCTGCACAGCTCATTCCGCGTAAATCAGCTGCCGGTGGTGGCGGTAATAAATCACACTGCTCAAACGGCGTCTGACAAGAGAGCGCTCCCTGACTCCGCCCAGCAGTGGGCGCGGCCAGCAAATCGACAATTGGACGGAGGTGCCGCTGACCAACCACCGTGTGGCGCTACCGTATCACGCCTGAAACTGAAGCGCACAACATTTCCGAGGTTCGCAGAACGGGAGATGATTAATAGGAAGTGCAGAAATTAGCGTGTAGTGTGAATATAGGCGAATGTGATGCAAAACGATATTAATGACGCGATAAAGAGAGAATTATGGGCTGCGAAGTGGACCAGGATGACGTTGCATTTGGGTTTTTTCTGATAATTAAAGGAAAATTGTTTCAGTAAATCGAAAACCTACAAAAACTGTAAACCGCTGATGAAAAAAAGTAATATGACAGAAAAACAGCGAGTGAAATGCACCAGCAAATTTTGTGTACCACTGACAAGCGGAAAATTCGATTGAGCACATAATGAGCACATGGTTGATTACTTATAATAAAGACGTTCACAAAACATTCATTGACTTGACTCGCTTTATTTGAAATCGCCACTTCTTAGCCTTCTCTGAAAAATCTTATCCATTGTGCTTTGAAAAGCTTCAGAAACTTCAAAATAAGTGGAAATTCATCTAGAAAACTTGATATTTCATTTATTTTCTTTCTTTTCCACGAATGAGACTTAATCACTAATTTTCCATAAAAATTCAGTTAAAGGGAAGCATAGTTTTAAAATATCAGAGACTTAGGAATGTCGTACAGCAACTTCAGCTCTCTAGATTACTGCAGCACGACGTTACAAGTCCGCTAATGATACCAACGAACGGACATCAGTAGAACTGGCTCTGCAACAAGTGTACACCAAATCTGGATCTCTCCAATTGGTCGTGTCGTTGAATACGCGCTTTTCCGCTCTTTCCACAAGAAATATATTGTTATTCCGACTAAGCGAACCGAACAAAAAAATACGATCCGTTCTTAATTTATGTTGCGGTATAAAAATGAAAGACGTTTGTGACCTAAGGTTGATTTGCTGGTCTTATCATAATGCTTTCCAGATTTTAAACTTTAAATAACTAAGATTTGTGTGGAAAAAGTCGATTGCAAGTGGTTTAAGGTTTTCAGAAGAATTATACCAATATAAAGAAAAGAGGAAATTTGTTTCTCAGAAATCAGATAAGAGAATTAAATGGCTGGTAAGAGAAGACAAACAACTGAGAAAGCCACTAACGGACGATTTTACCAAATTCAGTGCCGCTGCAATCATCTCGCCACTGAAATACGTGGTTGAATGGAAAATCTGAGAAGACGCTGCTTAGATGAGGATCCATAATTTTTTTTGCAATTTCGGCTCATTAAAACTTTTTGGAGAGTACTTAAAAATATATGAAAAATTCCTAGTACAGTATGATCGTTCAAGGAGGGTGTGACATTGAGAAAACTGGCAGAGCGAGATGGCAAAAGTTTCGAGTCTGGAGTGCTTAGATGAGGAATAAGATTACTGGAAAGTAAGGAGAACACAAACTTCAATTTTTCATTTGAGCTACGTGAATCATTTGGTATGATGGAACTTGAAAAATCAGAGGAATTTAACTAGCAATTATTTACTAGTAACACCGGGATGACGAAAAAAATCCTTCACGTTATGATTTACGAGTTTTTAACCTCTTAGGAGTTTTGTTTGCTTTATACAGAAGATTCCAAAATGCATTTAATTGTTGGAGAGTAAATACTATTTGTCTTTGTTATCCCGCTTTTTTTCAATTTCCGACATCGTTGCCCACTTTGTACTGTAATCTTTAACCAGTTTTCATAATGTATTAAGTGCTTTGCTCCTCAGAAAAGGAAAGACCTTTGAAAGCCCTTAAAATTTACAGGAAAAAGGCAGTGAGTAATTTCCGAATTTGTTGATTCGATGAAGATCGAAGCTTGATAAATGCATTCCGATGCAAACAAAGAAGATCATCCACTGGTGTTCAATACATTGTTCTCTTGTCGTACACATAGAAAGTGAAGTTGAACAACAGACGCGATGAACTCGACAGCAATAACGATGATGGTCGACGTCGTCAATTCGACGACGATGAGACCATAACGACAATGATTCGACCAGGACTAATTGCGTATAATCGACAAAAGACGCAGTAAATCATCGGACGGATGACGACTGTACGGGGCACGACCTCCGATCAACAAAGGTTTGTTTAGAAGGGCGGAAAAACCCCGAATCACCAAATGCAACGCGACGGCGAGCACTCAACGAAAAAACAGCGTATTGATGGAAATCTAATAAAATAATCGAAGGAAAATTCCCATCAGTGAAATTCATGCGGCCTCTCATGTGTATATTATAGTTATTGACTTTTGCAATGCAAATGAAGATTGAAGACATT